ATATCTGACTGTTGTTTCTGGCCTGCATGCTGCAGGGTTCCGCGCCATCGGGGCCGGCGTCCCCTTGTCTGCCTTCAGCTCCGTCTTCATCAACGGCCTCCTTGGACCCAAGACCGTACCGGTATGTGATCTCTCCTCCCTCAACACTCTATCTCAGCAACATCTTGAAATGCATGCCTTTAGTCTTCCGTAGATCGATCATCCGTGTTCTCGCTGAAATCTGAATCCACTTTGGCCTTTGAGTATGTATCGCGACACACAGAAACCATATTAAGATTGTCCTTTACCATTTCTCTGTCATTCCACTTTACCAAATTGAGTTTCTCTGCATGTCAGCAAGAAATTACCAACTACTAACATACTATCAGACTTAAAAAGTGATGGTACGAATTCCTAAGGTTGCTTCAAGTTTCAATCTAGCTTCAGCTTAGGATAGGAGGAGGTCTCAAAGTTTCTTCAGGCCAAACAAAATTCAATACGCTTATGGATTTAGTGGAAATTTTTTAAAAGGATCACTGCAATATTCCAATAACCACATGGATTAACGAGGAATCCTTAACTAAACAATGTGATATAAGGATTCGCTAGGATCTGTACTAACATGGGTATATATAAAATGTGATGCCAGGTTCCTGGACACATCATGACAACATGAAAGTGTGCATGTCCATTATGAACACTCAACAACCACATATAAAACTACACCGTACCTTTCAGTTATCTTCTGAAACATATAGTATTTGGAAATCGTCTTATTATGCATATTATATACAGTAACTTCTAAGTGCCAATGTATTCAGATGAATAAATTGAACTCTTTCTGGCGTCGGCTCGTTCCATGTCAATTTCAGGAGAACGAGAAAGCACCAGGTTTCAAGCTCCCCATCTACGTGAAGAACATCCAAAAGGGAAAGCACGGAAGTGATTCGGGCGTGTACGATGCCAATGGAAGGTACCAATCCAATTCAAATTTCCATCTTTCACCATCTCCAGGTTAAAAATTCAGAGTCCAGACACATTAAATGGCAGCAGCACAAGGTTTCTGTTTTTCGTCAGAGTTAATCCCACTTCTCAATGTACTTTACTGAATGAAGACAAGGTAACACTAATAAACAAACAGCTAACAATAGAGAATTTAATAGACATGTGAATGGATTACTAAACAGGACTAAACAATCGATGTGCCACTTCTCCAGTTCTCCTATGTGAGATGAGATGGATGCATACTACTTTTGATGAACTAATGATTAAACTATTATTAAGGGAGGCAGCTGGGAGTGAAGCGTTTCTTATGTCGTTTTGCCCTTTGTCTAAAGCACCACTCAACATTCAACAACTTCAGTCCAAAGATGATAATGTGAGATGGAAAGCATTGGAACAAAAACTACTGACATGATGAGGTGGTTGTTGCATTAGTTAATCAAGCTCAGTTTCAAACGAAAAGAAAACTATTGCCATGAGAATGGGGAGTCGTTCACATGTGCCTTTGTTCACTGTAATTTATTATAGGTGTTCAGCTAAAAAAAATGTCCGGCCTAATCCTCCTCGAAAACAACAAAAAAATATCCCATAATCATCTACTTATATAGGTACAAAATATAAAAACTTCTTGGATAGCTCGTTGAGCTAAAAGAATTGCTAATCATAACTGTATCTATCAACCTCCAGGTTCGTTCCTGAAAAATTTGAGGAGATCTTCAAGAAGCATGCCCACACCAGGCCTGATGCCCTGACGGGCAAAGAGCTGAAGGAGCTGCTGAAAGCAAACAGGGAGCCTAATGACTTCAAAGGATGGTAAATACTCTTCAGGAGCTAGACTGCTAGAACAGTATATATATGACATTGACATGCAAGAAAGGGTATATGCTCCGTCTTTGAGCTGAGTATGTTTCGGAAAAATTACTGCAGGCTAGGTGGTTTCACGGAGTGGAAGGTGCTCTACTCCCTATGCAAAGATGAGAAAGGGTTTCTTCACAAGGACACTGTCAGGGCCGTCTACGATGGCAGTCTGTTTGAAAAGTTGGAACATGAGAGGAAGTCTAAGAAGGAGTCTACTAAGAAGAAATGATAAGAGCATCGTCATGTACTCGCTCGTGTCTGGAAGAATTTGTAAATCGCGGTGTGCTGTGTGCATGTGGATCAGTAGAATAATACCCTAGTTTGATTCTGTACGCCTGTGGATTCAAATTTTTATTTATGGAGCAAGAGATTTCTTATAAATATATCCATCTTTCTATCATTATTGTAACATGTGTTTTTAGAATTAATCTGTGGTAATCTAGAGACAGAAGGTAGACAAATGAATTTTCCATCTATCTCCACGACAAATGATTGAATGTACTATACAAGCCTAAATATAAGTTTATCTAGTTTTTTTGCATCTTATTAGGATGCATGTAGTTAAATTTGGAATTTCTTTAGATAAGCATGCATAAATTGATTTAAACCGTAAACGATACTGAATCATTCCTAAAATTTCTAAACTCTTGGATGACAACATATATGTCTTCTGTTGCATGTGAAGAAGCTTTATGATACATAAGGAAAAAGTTTTATATGATAACAAAAACTTTTAAAAAATACATATATGATAACAAAGACTTTTTTTTTGAAAGAATTGCAACTTTTTTCCAACTAGACCAATGTTAATGTTGTAGTCTACAAACACGTTATAACATAGCCACCTCATGAATCTTCTTCTAGCACTCGAGTGGGTTCTCAGAGGTGCTAGAACATGGCGAAGGGATGGAAGATCGGAGTCATTTGGGCTGCGAGCAATGATGAGCCTCTGGCTCAAATGTAACACTGCTCAACAACCAACCGGATCACGCTATCATTGCTCCCAACGCGTCTTTCCTTCGGCGTGGCTCCATCTTCATAAACCTTCTTTTAGTACCTCTTGTGCACCATCTTGAGTTTTGACTATGAAGGAAAGGTGTATGTGGAGGACTTTCTCCTAAAAAGACAGTTTCTTGCAAAGGGAGCAATATTGAGACCATAAATTGTGAAGCAATGAGTAGTTTTACTAGATCCATGTGGAACTACAAGTAGGGGAGCTCAGTTGTCCATGTGGGGCAATATACGTGTGTCCGGACACATGATTTATAACCAGAAGCAATGGTGGTAGCTAGATCCGATGGTGGAGAACCAAGTAATAGGTGCTTAGGTGGATCCAACAGTCCCTAACACTGCTAGGTCAATCCAAAACCTAGTAGTAAGGCCCTTATGCCGCTTCCGAATCAAGCCATGACCGTACCCCACATTGGCATATCAAATTGGGTGATGCTTTGAACCGACAGTGATATCCCCCATATCACTGTCGGTTAGTGTCTCTGACCAGCAATGATAGTGGGCTTCATTGTCGGGTCACTTGAGTCCTAACGATTTGTCCGGATCCTATGTTTATGACCCAACAGTGAAGCCATATCATCACTGCTAGCTCATGCACACCCAACAGTGAGACCTATAGGAATTATGAGTTCTATAGTAGTTTAGGCTTAACTTTTGCAACTTACATGTAAACAGCCCAAGTGCAATGAGACTGTTGACCATTGCGCTTGGCAACCTAAGGAGCATCATCCTACGTGAAAGGACATGGAGAGCCAAGCATGACGGCGAGGAGAGCCTCCAAATACTGAACTGGGGTGGCGGTGCTAGGAAATGATTTGAGATAGGAGGTGGAGTGACGTTGATGGAAATTCAACGTGAAAAATGGACATAAAACCAGAGGGGCTGCAGAGAAAACCTAGGAGGATGTGTGGGGAGGGAAAATCAGGAGCGCCGGGTTGCAATCTTGTGCCTTCCTCGGGTTTGATCTGTTGTTGGATGATTGCATTCCCATCTTTTTAGTTGTATATAGATAATGTACTAAAAGAGATATATATATATATATATAGAAAATATATATAGAATATATATATATATATATATCTTATATATATATATATACCTCCAAAATAGAAGAATGCACTAAGAGAAGAGAGTTGGATATATATATCTTGTACGAGTGTGCATAGACCTCCACATGCAATGATGAGACAAGCTTTGTTCAATGCGACAAGGCAACACTGCCCCTATGCTGCCAGGGCCCACCCCACCGTTGACCCCCATTGGGGCGTGGCCATGCGCCTCTACTTCGATCCGCTTCACTATTGCCCCATGCTGAGGCCCATGGGCTGCCATCGCCTTCGCTCTACCACTTCCCCACGCTAGACTTGTTGCAATGCCGCCTCCCCTTTTCTCTGCGATGCACTAGAGCACCTTCGCCGCCACCTCAATGACGTCAATGCTACACATTAGGGGACCTACGCTGCCACCGATGTTGTTCGGACATGATCGATCGAGTAGGAAAGAGAAGGGAGAGAAATGATGAACCGAGAGATAGAGGCCGTCAAGGGCCCACCTATCAGAGATATTAGGGGGGTATAGAAACACATGAAGAAACTAAATTTATTTAGTTTATTTAATACTAGAGATAGATATAGAAGATGCACCTTCTTGGCTTCTGAACCAAACCCCATTCCTCATTGGATTCCTTGTGTACGTCGGACGCAAGTGACTGTGCTATCGCCTGCAAAACATTTTCAAGTTCTATGTTTGGCAGTTGGCACATAGATATATATCAGGCCAAGTACATTGCTACGTATCAGAAATCTTAAAGAGCCTCTCATGGAGTGCCATGTAAAATTTATTGATGGCGTGGAGGGAGAGAGAGAAAGGTGAGAGAAAGAGGTGATCGTTTTGTAAAGCAGCCACCTCAAGAGAAGAAGTTTAGAACATAATTAAGACACTATTTCACCATTATATGATTTAATGTTATGTTGCACTCATAAAATTCTTTGTTGATTACACAAATTAAGAATAACTAGCCTGAATCCCCACGCAAGTGCGTCGGGCTAGGAAGCATTAACACATAAGTGTAGCCATAACGTGGTCAATGACACTGTACATGGATGACAACAGAAGGTGTAGACAACAATATGTTCATGTAAGTGTACATCTCAAAATGAAGTATGAAAGCGACTGATATGTTCATTCTGCAAAGACTGAATAGAGTGTACATTTTTGTCGGAAACTATGTAGATGAACAATCTTTTAGACCTATTCTATGCAGGCATGGTATAGGATACAATCTTATATTGACCTATAAGGCTGGCCTAAAATTTACATTTCTTTGTAAATCAAGAACATGACAATACAATAATTAGGTGACACCACAATTGGATTTGGCCCATTTTCATTTTGTGTTGAATGGATTAATCTTGGATTCGAAAGAAAAACATATATCTATATCTAAATTCAGCCTCCTAGTTTTAGTTCACCTTGAAGCTCTCTTCTAAATTCAACCAACACACTGAGAAAAGTGTAGATGCAATATATATGGAAACTTAAATCTATAAATAAATAAGATGAGCCCAAAACATCAGTTATCTGCATAGGAGCATGTTAAACCTATGCTTCATATTTTCAAATAGCAAATAAATGTCATCTTCACAATTGGAAACAGCAAAGCACAGATGACCAGATTCTGTTATGAGTGAACAAACGCATAAGAGACCAAAATGTGTTCATGTGAAGCGGTCATGGTAGGGTGAAATTTAGTATACAGTCAGCGTGCGTAAGGCAAGAAAAGAAATGGTACCAACAGCATGGCTACAAAGCAAGTACATTAGCAAAAGGAACCCTGTATTATGCTGCGCACAGCATACATATGTCCAGTAATCTTAGAGGCTTACAGGATGCACCCAGTTCGTTATAGTGTTCAACAGGAAAATGATGGCTAACCTAGCAGCCTGAAACCTGGATGCAAAATACGAAGATAGTTACCGTCAGTATAGAGTTCACGTAACTTTAGTTGGCATAGATTATGAAGTGAAATCAAAACTTCACAGACCGATAATGTAAGAGAAAGGAGATTGAGTGGTTTAAATATGGGCAGAAAGAGTATTTGTATGAATATTTTTAGGTAGGCATTCGTACAATGGATAAGCGAATTGGAAGTTGTGATTGTTCATCTGAGAAAGAAATGATTATGTGGGTTTAGAAGCACACAGAAAGTAAAGCATGTGAATACATATATGTTCTTCAGAACAATTAGGTAGTCATTTATACAATGGATAAGTGAATTGGAATCTGTGATTATTCATTTCAGAAAGAGATGATTCCGTGGGTTTAGAAGCAAACATAAAGTAAAGCATGTGAATATATATATGTTCTTGAGAAGAATCGGACGACAGTTATTATTCTGAGATAAAAGTTGTAAATTGAAGCAACCATATAATATGTTGAAAGAGATAGTCTGATTGTAACCTACGGCTATGTATGCAATATTACCTGAAATTAGCTGGCGTGCTCTATGTCATGGAAAATGGCAGTATAGACCACATTATGTGTTTGGTTTTCATACCCGGTTGTGGTATTTTCAATGAGCACGCGTAACCCTGCAGGCGATGTTACATGTGAGAGTACAACATAAAGTTGTCCATGTGAGAACACGGGACTTGGTAAGTACACTCCAACTTTGTTCAGTGTCTGTCCTTGGCTTTTGTTTATCGTCATAGCATAGGACACACGGACCGAAAATTGACGACGTTTTATTTTGAAAGGCCATTTTGGATCAGTTGAAGTACATACTATTCTTGGAATGTATGCTTTAGATCCTTTAGCCTTGCCTGTGATTATTTCAGCCTCAATTATACGATGAGTTAGCTGGGTGACTATTAGTCTGGTTCCATTGCACAGGCCCCTTGGTGGGTCTAGATTTCTCAGTAGCATTATAGGGACTCCAATTTTCAGTTGCAAACGGTGATCAGGTAGGCCACTCATTTGAATAGTGTTGAGGAACTCCTGAGGATAGAGGGATTCTAGAGTGCAGTAGTTAGATGTGGCATCATCAATGGAATCAGAGCTGTAGTATGACATCTCCTCGGTAGCTATCTGATCAATAATTTCTCTATTTATGGTGATAGCCACCTCATTTGTTGGGGCCAATATTGCCCGTTCACATAGGTAGGCTGCTAATTCAGGGGCGTGTGCAATTGTCCCATATACAAAAATGACTAAGCCTCC